TTACGCATCAAATTCAAACTCATCTAAAGAAATACATAAGCATAACAAATGAGAAAAACAAAATTGAATCTCGATGTTTACTTTTCTAAAAGTTCTTTAATACATCCACCAATGTAATAGATGCATTGCAGGCTGGCAAATTAACGAGTATTGCAAAATTTACTTGGTATATGCTAACAAATAAATAAATAAAGTGCATTAGTCGATATCATATGAGGATAATGTCTCTAACACTTTTCCATAATTTAGCAGAAATTTCAAGACCAAAACTTCATTAATCGTCCCCAATGAAGCCCTTCACCTCCACTCTCTACAACTACTTCTCCATGGATGGTCTTTAATATAGTACAGTGGTCTGATCTCCTTATCGATCATCCATTTCTATTTATTAAACTTGAAATTTATACGAAGGTATCGATGAATTTTCTTAATAATTCTTGGGTGTTTCACCAGAATAAGGGTGTTAAAGGGTAGAGGTTACACTAATATAAAGCCATTTATATTAGGATTGAATGGTGATTTTAATTTTTGAAGTATCCAATGTATTTTTGTGCTTTAAAAGGCTGATGTCCGTTGGTGTATTTAGGTCCTGTTAGGTAAGGAGTAATTTAGAGAAAAAACAAGTGTTGTCTTCATGCTTTAATTTAAACTTGCAATTTATATGAATGTATGGATATATTTAATTAATTAATTACCTGGAAAATATGAGTGGATGGGTTAATTTATGTTGACGGAAAATTTGTTGATGAAAAATGTGATGCCGTAATACTCCTTGACGTGAAGTTGTGTCTTCCAATGCAGATGCTTTAAGCGTAACAGGCGTGGCATCACTGAGGATTCCTCAAGCCATTTGCATTGCAAATTAATTGAATAATTGTAAACATTTGCACCAGGACGTTGTAGAGCAGGTCTTGATTGGTTTCATCCTCCCACCGGAGCTGGTTCGGCTGCACCAGTCTCGAGTCATCATCAAAGGATGGCCTTAACCATACCTATCTTTCTATGTTGGAGCCATTTGATAACTCCAAAGAATCTTGCAGCTCCATTTTAAATTTATTTCCAGCGTCTTCGAGAATGCCTTGTTAGAACTTAATACCTTAACTTGGTGAATCATTTACTCCATTATTACGGTACATGTAAATGCAGGTGCACAATAAACAAAACTAGTGATGAAGCATGACATCTGCATGTAATTCAATTGCAGTAACATGAAAAGACCAGCATACTAATCCCCCTTTTTCAGAAATTGAAACCAAATTTGTCATCTTTCAGAATCTTAGAATGGTATACGCAATGGGAATATTTTAATAGATGAAATTGATATTTGTTTCTACGAAATGAAAAATGTATCTCCCAGACTCACCTAAAGTAGTTGTTTTTTAATATACAAATAAGCTTGATGATCTCCAATCATAATGGGAGAATCCTAGCCTGAAGGCATCTTTCTCAAGAGAAACGATACAAAATCCTAGCTAATTGAACCAATAAATCGAGAAAGAATTGTCGCAGGTATGCAGAAATTTTAACACCTCGGCCAGTGTTAAACATCAGCCATGCCAGAAAATATCATTATACAGAACTATCAATCATGCATGATGGAAATTTTATTGCTATGTTGCTTTGTATGAAAGTATTACAAAAACAAAGGCCTATTTTCAAATGTTGAGCTATTGTGTTTTATATGCTGATTTGCATGTAGCGAATACACTACTTGCGTCATTCATGACATCCCATTGAAGGAAACAATAAACAAATTGCACAAAATTGAAAAGTATTTGTTTCCAAGAAGAAAACGACATGACTGAAAAACTTTCAATTGCAGCCAATCATTTATAATGCAGTCACATAATGTGGTTCGCGAAAAAGAATTTTGTATCTGAATTAAAACAGCCAATCAATTATAACTGAATCACGCTGCATATTAGCATGTACAAAGTATATGCATAATATACAAATTAAATAAGAAAGTATGATTTGTAAGGCACGTTTCACCCACAATTTACATGGTTCGAACCAAATTATCTAGAAAGCATCATAGTTATCATTAAATTTAAACAACTAGCCACCCCTTGCCAAAAGAGATATGTTTATAATGAAATTGTAATGTTTACACTTGCAAACATACTCGAGAAGTAATCCTCTCAAACATGATCTTACAACTTTGTCCATACATTCATCGTTCGTAAATTGCCATTGCGGATCAATTTTCTTTTTTCACAAGGCAATTGATCTTCATTCAGCTTTTTACGTAAGTTCTGGTTAGACTACCAGCCTCTAATTTGAATATCTTTGGTCAGCCATTACCTTCTTGATCATCTACCTCTTCAGAGCTGTTGGAACAAGCGTTGTTTACAATTGCAGAAGTATGAGCTCGATTCCTCAAATACTCCAAAATTTCTTTGAATTTTCTTCAGAAGGCTGCATCTTGCACATGCTGTCTTTCTTCTGCAACACTTTCATCTTGTTTTCGATTACTGTCCCTGAACAAATATGACATTGTCAATCCGTGATAAGTTTCAATTATTAGAATTTTCTTAATTCAGCCATTACCTTCTTCTTCTACCTCTTCAGAGCTATCGAAACAAGGCGTTGTCCACCTGAAAAAACAAAAAGCAATTGCAGATAGGACTATGTTTGTACTTCTTAAAATGGAAGTAGTATAGCTTCAAGATCGATATACTTACCCACGAGCTCCAAACCTGGTATGCATCAAGCTCCACATGACCATAGGACTTACTAATCCCGTATAGGACAGGTTATGGTTCCCGTCAGTGCATTCTTCAGTTTGAGCGGCTAGAAGCTCTTCATCGACCTGCACGTCATGGAAGTTCAATTTTAGTATCGAATAAATGATTAGAAATGCATAATTAGTAAAGATATTGTTCTAGGGAGGCATTCAGAACTAATGGAATTATTGGCACCTTATCGAAAAATCTAGATGTCGTGGGAAGATGATTCGCAACTCTCAGGTTGGTCATATACAACCAACTGTTATAAACAATAGCTCATTCCTCTTCTCTTTCTCTCTCGTAAGGTATTGATGAAAAAGCAGTGAACTGGATTGAAGTGTTGTTCGTAGATTTGGAGTTGATAATAGACCCTTTATTTGATTGTTTCTCTATCTTGCGTTTGTTGCTCAAATCCGCAGCGGAATTTTAGTTTCACTCCAATGTGTTGCCCCTCGTCTCATTGCTCAAACACAAACATCCAAAGCAATTATACCAAAATCACACAACTAAATCAACTCAATATCAAGTTTGGGAGAGAGTGCTAAATAAAAACGGAAAGCCCTAATAATCGAGCAATCCCCAATAAGAGGCAATTGGGCAGCGGCCACTAAAGATAGAGTTTGTGGAGAAGAAAGTAAACCTAATCATTGTTTATTTATATAATATTCAAAAGAACCTTCTAGATAGTTGAAATTATTTTTTTTGTTACTAAAAAATATATATTTTTATTTATTTATTATACATATTCTACACTTTTCTAAATGTTATAATTCTAGTTGAATTCCTTTTTGTTTTTGTTTTTTTTAAATCATATTCATCAAAACTTTCTAGATAGTTAATTTTTTTAAAAAAAATATATATATCTTTTGTTTATTCTAAACTCTTCTAAATATACTGTATTTTATAAAACTTTCTAGATGGTTGAATTTTTTATTTTTATATACTATCTCTTTTATTTATTTATATTAATTAATTCTAGACTCTTCTTCATCTTTTATATCTTTTATGTCACTTGTGTTTTTTGGATATATTTTATTATTATATGTTTTATATATATATAGTATAAAAATAATCATCAAAATTTATATAAAAGAAATATCTATTAAGCAAGTAATGAAATGTAACCCAACCTAAAGATTGTAATAAATAAATTCCAATATATTTAAATTTTAGACAACTAATAATTAAATACATGTCCACAGATCACTCCCACAAACACATCACTGTTATATGTATAATTTCACAAAGACGTATCACCACACACCCCACTCATGTAACCTAATTGCGCTACATTGAGCTTGTCAATCAGCACTTTTTATCACACTTTACATATGAAATATAATCCTCAGGTTCACAATCATTTGTATCCACCGTGTCAGTCAGTTTCTATCCCGTTATATATACATTCAACAACATCCCCATTTATATTGGCTTGCATCACATAAAATATTTGTTTTCAGTTTCTTGGGTTTTTTTTTTTTTTTTATGTGTTGCAAGTAATCTATTCTTCAATCAAATTCTATGTTGAATAAACCAAACCAAACAAACAAAAATCGTGCAAACAAATAAACTACATGAGAAAATTCAAAATTAGCGACAAAAAACTGAGAAAATCCAATCCCAATACAGAACTCTATTTTAAATTGAAGAAGACTTGAATATATATTTGTTAATATAGATTAATAATTAGTATATATACATATAAAGATACAAAAAGTATTAATAGTTTTTAAATCACTACAAAAAAATATCAATTTTGTAACAAAGTGTTTTTTGTTCTAAATCCCTTTTTTCCGTTACTAAAGGCATTAGAGATGGAATTAGAGAGGGAATTGCGTTAACTACATACACTTTAGGAACGGAATTCCGTTACTAATATACTATTTTTTTTTGTAGTGAATATGTCGTTGCTCAATATATAATTTTCAATAATGATGAGTAATCTTGTGCTATAATTTTAATTATTTTTAATATCGGTGTTGTGACTTTACCTTTAACGTTAATGCGAACTTTGAATTTTTGATGAATTTGTAACGGATATTTTTCGTAATAAAAGAACCGTTACATTAAATGTTCATCCATTTGTAAGGGCACTTGTTACGGTATAATTTTTGTTACAATAGCTTAATGTCAGAAAACTAATCAAAACAACATTAAAACTTTTCGTAACGGTATTTGTAACGACCACAATTTCGTAACAAAAAAAATATTCTTATTCTTTCAATAAAAAGCTGTACGATAAGAAAACCATCCCCAAACGACATTACAAAATATAAGAATATTACATAAAATATTAATTGCACTAAGTACGCATTGTTTAGGAACATAACTACTTCGCAATTCGGCCTAACATATACGACAAAGCATAAAAACAAACATACAAAAGAAAGTAGAAAATGCAAGTTCAACCAACGGAAAGGAGGTCAACATCAATCCACAAACAAAAGTTAATCATCGTAGAATCACGTGCCACACCGCCACACCCCATGCAACGTCAAATTGGCAGTTGCGGGCGACGAACAAACTGCAAACATAGTGCAAAAGTATATAATAATTTAGTTGAGATGGAGCCTATCTTGATGACACAAATGTAAAAACAACAAAATATAGAACAACATAAATAGAATTATAGCATGGACCCTATCTTGATGACACCCGGACCAACATCCATACAATGACACAATTATAGAACAACCAACAGTATAATCAATTTATTTGATGCATGTAAAATCTGTTTGTTTAAACAACCAACTTAAACATGTATCGATTCAACAACAACATTTAATTGAGTGCGAATGTATCCAAATACCAAACACTTTGAATTATAACAAAAAGCAAAGCGGTTGGGGGATAAAATCAATTCACCCACCAGCATCTACAATAATCTTTAATTATAAACATATATGCTCCCCAACAAGACCATATGGAACAAACAGTTTCCGGTTGAGTGAACATTTTCCATCTACCATTTCAATCCAACCTCGAGGTTTCACCCAATAATAGCCAACCAGTCATCTTTGTCATTTCTCAAACTGGGGAATGAAATATAGCTGACTTGGTAAGCTTGCATCCTAAGTATCAAAAGGTTCATAACTGCGTAACAGTACTTATGTCGCGCTTATGTTTTGGAGAAAATACAAATTTTTAGAAAGAATTTCAAAAATATTTATGAGCAAGAATGGTTATTAAAGAAAATAAATACACCAAGCTAAATTGGATATCACTCGTAAGCATGCAATACACATTTTGATCAAATATAATTTAGTAAAACAACAATTATTCTCAACATATTCAAAAGCCAATTTCAATACATACAACCATTGTAAGTAGAAGCTAAAACAAATTTAAATCAAACATTTAGTAGTGGATGTGCAGACAAGTAATGTCCAAGCTAATTTAAATTATAAATTATGAGGGAAATTAATACATTGATAAAGAAAAAAAAATATATGTAGTGAACATTAAATGACATGAACAAGAGCAGACATAACTAGGGATGAGAAGGAAATGAGAATCTCAAACAGGAATACAATAGTTCATCAGTCATGTTATTTTTCCAAATGCCCGATTCCAATCCAGGATCCTACCTACAATGTAATCTATAAATAGCCCACACACAAACATCCATGCATAATAAATAAATAAATGACTATTAGATTAGACTATTATTATGCAGGGCACCAAATACACAACTATTCAAGTCAAGAATAGTTTTAATTGTGAAGCAAACAAAAGACACAAATGATTTATTTGTGCAGCAAACAACGCATTCAAAATATGTATTACAAAACAAATGGATTATAAATTGAAACAGGGGATTTCTTTAGAATTATTTGATAAAAATTTATATTATACGGATACGATGTTAATAAGCACCGGAACGAGTAATTTTTCCATTACCATTGAAGCCGGGAAATTGAACAGCTCCACCATTCACTAGACATACTTACCAAATTCCATCCATGGAAACCTGAGAAAACAACCAAAAACTACTACTCATGACATGGTTGATCAGCACATGTCTTGATTCGAATCATAAAGTTACTCACAACTAAAACAAAAAGCTTTTAACTGTATTATTTCAGAAAGAAAAGTTTTAATTGGAATGTATTTTGATCCAACATTCATAACAATGAGATAAAGAGTGCAGATACTACAATTGGAAACCTTCGAGGGATGCCAAAAAATACAGCATCCTATGAGAGATTTCAGGAACTCGAAAAGGTATGCAATTTGTATCATTGAGCTAACCACCACGCAAAAAAATAAACTCATAAATTAACACCAACACAAACAAACAATAAAGTAAATAAAAAAAACAACCTGGATCATGAAAAAATCAACACGAAAATGCCAAATTAAACAGATTCAAAGCTAGAGAAGGCTTCACCAAGTCTCATTTTTTCAAAATAACGCAAGCTGCGATCGTCACCCAACATTTAGCAAAATAACAAAACAAAAAGAGCAGTGGCACAAAAGAAAATACTACTAAAATTGCCTCAATACAATAAACTAAAACAATAGAATGAAGAAATCATATAAAACGTGGCTTACTGTCGGCGGGCAGGGGCAGCTCGCAGTCGACGAGTCAAGAAAGGCCGCAGCGGAGCACGGTCGATGGTCGACGGTCGAGAAAGGCGGAGGCGGCGCGGTTCAGGGGTGCGGTACGGATAACTTAAAAGAAGGAAAATGAGAAAGTACGGGAAGAAGAAGAAAAGTGAAAAAGAAAAAAGATGAAAGAATGAAGAAGCAGGAGAACGAACAAGACGAACAAAGAACGAATAGAGGAGAGGAAGAAGCGGATGCAGGATGGGGCGTGTCTAGGGTTTCTTTAGAAGTCTCAATTTTAATTCTACTTTTTAATTGTATATAATAATTTTAATTTTAAATAAACAGTTATTTTAATTTCAGTTAGTATATATTTTAATTTTAAATATTTTTGTGTTGTACACTTTCAAAGGTGTAAAAATACTTTACTTTTCAATCCTTTAACTGTCATAACATTTTTTGCTAAGCCCATCTCTAAGTAATTAATGTAATAACTAAGAACACCTAACATATTTTAGTTGACAATGATGCATAGAACAATTGCAAATATGCACATAACAGTTGCAGATCTAAAATATTGCGTGCAAATAGATGGATTAAGCAGCAAATTCAAATTCACATACATCATTAGGTACTGTTACATAGGTCGTAGCTTTAATTTTACGATATTTATTCTAACATTGTATATGAAACTCATTATACTCCGAATCTATATGCTCATAACAAAACAAAATATAGATATATTCTTACATATCCAAAGAATGCAGAGCACGTCCCAGACTCACCTCGATTGGTGTCATCACCTTATTGATCATCGATTTCTATTTATTAAACTTGCAATTTATATGAATGTATCGATGAAAAATGTGATGCCGTAATTAATACTCCTTGACGTGGAGCTTTGTCTTCAAATGCAGATGCCTAAACCTGACAGACGTGACTTCACTGAGGATTCCTCGGCCATTTTTGCGTCATTTGCAAATTAATTGATTAATTAAGATTTTTGTAAACAGAAATTAGTTGTATATATATATATATATATTTATTTATATTTTCCATCAATTTAATTAGTCCTGGAGCATGTAGTCTCGAGTCATTATCAAAAGATGGCCTTAGCCATATATATCTTTCTACGTTAGAGCCATTTCATATGGGCCAAGGTCAGGACGCCGACTGCCCAAATCAGCGCTAATGTTACCTCAACCCGCGAAGTTGTCATTCGAACAACCAAATTATGGATAAAGCATCATAGTAATCATCAAATTTAAACCGGTAGCAACCCCTTGCCAAAAGATATATGTTTCTGACGAAATTGTAATTGTCTAGCTTGCAAACATACTCGAGCAGGATCATCCCTCAAACATGATCTTACAACTTTGTCCTCACATTATTCGCTCAATACTAGCAATAACAAAGAGTACATTGCCATTATGGATCATTTTTATTTTTTCAAAAGACAGTTGATTTTCATTGAGGTTTTTGCGTTTGGTCTGGTTAGATTTACGGACACCACGACCACATCACAACTAACATTTCTGCTGCATTAGTAGAAATCTCATCCCTTGTTTGTGCCTTTTCAGTTTTTAAAGGTGGCACCTGTAAGTCATATGGAACATTCTGTTCGATGAATCGATTATCGTCATCGTGTCACTCTCCATGGATGCTGGAGCTTCGAGGTCTATATCCAACGGCGCCTTAACACTGACCCTTTCTCTACTAGACTCTGCTACCTGAAGATCTTTGCAATCATTAGCAGAGGAGTTCTAATCAATGAAGACTCGCGCGGACACAGGCACCCTGATCTTATTTCTCCAGATTACCGACATTCAGTTCGTCAGCAGAAACCTGATCTGGTTCGCAGGCTATGTTTATGTCGATCATTCTCTCCAATCTTTCAATGTTAGCATTCTTCCCTTTAGGCTGGGAATCAAAGTTTTCTGAAGTCGAAGCAATGGATGACAGCTTGATTTCTGGAACAACCGTTTCAAATATGGGGAACCCAAGACGCTGCTTCACTGTTCGAGTCTCAGCCTCAACGATCTCCTTTTTTCCTGCACTTTCGGAGCCACTTGAAACCAATGCACTCTTCCGAGTAAAATACTGATAGAGATCCCCAGCATTCAGATTAACACGAGTCAGATTATCTTTTCTGTCCTTGTTAAGATCTTGCATGATCACAACCTCGTCTGAATTTTGCAAGACAAAAAGTTTAGACTTACCATCCAATCCAGTCAATACTTTAAATATTCGTTGAAATATTTCCTTCATACCCAAAATCAAGATCAGTCCACTCAGACAAATGAAGAAATATGCTCTAAAGTCAAGATATATTTCCAATCTCCAGCAGAATCCTAATTCAACTTCTCTTATTTCATCTCTCCAACAAAAGCATAAAAAACAAACAAAATAAAATAAAATAAAAACAAGAAAATCAACTATTTATGACGACATTGAAAATGAAACCAGCAAATTCAAATAGATAACCCTAATCCGGAGAGAGTGTGTGAAAAAGAAGCAAGGGCGGACGGATTTATGGGAAGACGAAAGAACGAAACCCTAATCATCACTTTCATTCTCTTACTTTATTATGGTTTCCCTTATCCTTCCCGGTTTATATATTTTTATAACGTTGAAAAGAAGTTTCTAGATATTTTATATTTTTTTCACGATTTATAATATTTATTTATTTATGTCACTCTATTCTAGATTCTTCTAGTGCCTTAAGCAATAATAATAATAATAATAATAATAATAATTATTATTATTATTATTATTATTATTATTATTTATTTTTATATAAATAAAAGTAACAATAGAGTAACTTCAATTTTGAAATTATCCGTTCATCGAAATAATCTAACATACTTTTTTACCTAACTTTTTTATTACTTTCAAATCACCTTAAAGTTCCAAACACTCCCAACTTATCTCCAAATACAAAGGGAAAGTATAAATTTCTACTTAAGAAAGTATATATATAAAATAAAATGTTGTCCTAATTTTTAAAGTCCATTGTCCCATACCTTTAAATACAATTTGTCAAACAAATTGTAAATATTTTTATTTCTTCATAAAATTTATAAAGTTTTCGTATGAAAATCAAAACAAAATAGTAATAAGATATATCAAAATTTTACTATTGGAAAACAATGCAAAACTCACAAGCAAGCAAAAGTTTTACTTTGTATATTCAGCTATTGACCAAAAAACTGAAAATCAAACTTCTAAAGCAATATAGAACTAGCAAGCCGAATCCGAATAGAAAACCCTAATCGCAATTGCACACGGGTGGAGGTACACTACCAAAAGATCCAGTATTTGTAGTTGTTATACTGTTCGTAACAACTGGTCTTTTACAAAAAGTGGGTTTTGTTATGCTTTTTGTTGGAACAAATTTTTTTGTATTGGTCAACCTTTTTTTTATTTGTTTTGACAAATTATCCGCAACAACTATAAATGTGACGAGATATGGTTTTATATACATTTATTACATATGCAAAACGGTAACAAAAAGTCAATATTATAATTATAAATAAAAATTAAAATAAATATATATTAAATAAGTTTAAAAATATATATATTAAAAAATAATAAAATTTTAAAAGAGTGGCTCAACACTTTAACAAAATTCCCAGCGACTCCCTATACTCACAGCGAAGCTCGTCGACGTTGTACTCCGCCCTCTGCTCTACCGTCGCTGGTCAAAGCTTGTGCTTCTCCTAGTTATTGGTGGTGTGAGTCTTCCTGCCCACGATGTTATTCTCACGATATCGAAGGGTAATTAAAAACCTAGGAGTTTTATTGTATAACTATGAAAATTGATTTTTAGGTTTTTAGTGTTCTTAGTTGTTGGATGATCTTCATGTAGAAATTAAAGGGTAAATTGTGAGTTTGTATTTCTAATTTTCTTAGGTAAATAAGGTGCATAGGTTTGTACCAATAGGTTTTCTCAAATTGATTGTCTCATGATTGAATAATACTTATTTTGTCTATATTCATTTGTAGAATTAAGTTATTGAACAACGAGGTGGTATACTTATAACTGTTCGAAAATCAAATATTAGGTAATATACGTGACTGGGTTTTTTGAATCATTATTGTTGTAATATTTTATCATTTGTGATTTCATAAATAACATGGGTAAAGTATTTTTTTCAATGTTTTGATAGTTTTTAAAGTGTATAAAGTAATAGAAAAATCTTAACCCTTTGTTGATCATTCCATTAAGAGGGGCTATTTTATCATTACTAATAATATATAAGATATTATTATGTCAATTTAAATAAATGATTAAAAATATATTGATAAATATTTATATGAAACAAAAACAATGAATCGTACTGTGTTTGAAAAACAGTTTTTGGAAACACGGTATATATCTCAATATTTTAGATTACCTTTTTGATTAAATTTTTTTTATTCCGTATTTGCTTTAAAATTAATTAATTTTTTCATATATATTAATTTATTTTTTATTACACTATTTATTAAATATTTGAATATTTTCTCCTAATAACATATGAATTCACTTTTATAAAAATTTGTAAATTTGTTAAAATATAGATAGAAAAAATATTAATATTATTAATTCATATATATATTTTATCACATAAATTTTTATTAAAAATAAATATATTTATTTAAAATTATAAGTTTAACAAAAATAAATATTAATTAAAAAGTATTATAATAAAAATACATATGCTAATAATTTTTATTTTTTCGTTTATACTATATTTAATGAAAAAATATATTTTTCAATAAATTACATTACTTTTTTACAAAATATTAAAAAAATAATAAAAACAAATATTGTAAAAAAGCCTACCCACCGAAAGCTAACTAAATATTTTTAGAAAATATAAAATATCCTTAGTTGAAATTTTACATATAAACAACTAATACAAAACTGCTATTTTACCAAATACTTTAGCAAAAACAGCTAATATATTCAGCTAAACAAGCTAATCGAATCAGCTAACTGTAGACACTAAAAATATATGTCTAAAATCAATTAAATATCATGTATTTTGGAAAAAAAATAAAATTTCAATAAAATAAATATATGGTATTTAATTATGCACATATGTTAATTTTTGTACAATAAATATCAACCATTAATGCGAAATCTGCTTAAAATAGAAGATATCGTACAAATATTACGTGCATAAATAGAGCAATAATAAATTTGGCGGCAAAATAAATTAATCTTGTCAATAAAGGAAGTATATAAATTAATACCTTCCAAACAAGGCAATGATATAAAGATCTTGTCAATAAAGGAAGTATATAAATTAATATCTTCCAAAAAAGGCAATGATATAAAGATTTTGGCGAAAAAAGAAGGTGCATAATCAAATCCGTCAAAAAATGGAAAACGGCATCCGATGAAAAAGGAAAGATTATAAAATCTTTCCATCCACGTGGCACTATCCGAAAATGAAGCCAAGGCCACCCTCCCCTATAAATAGGAGCCTTGGCCAATTCATTTACACACCGAAGTTCATTTGAAGACTCGCGCAAGGGTAAGTCTCTCTAGACTCTCTGCAATGTTCTTCATTGTTCTTCGTGTCATTCGAAGCGTTCTTCGTTGAAAATTCACCGATTTGGACAAATGATCCAATATTGGTTGACGAATTGATGAAGTTAACGTTCTTCGTCGTATGTCCGAGCCGGAGAAAGGATCAAATCTCTCAAAGCCATCAAGGAATCCATCAAAGCCAAGGAAGAGCCTCCAAAGTCGCTCCCAAAGCTTGAAGATGTTCGTCGCGTTCTTCATAAAAGGCGCAAACAAGGCCCT